TTGGATACTTTCGGGTGTGAGCTCATCCTCCTCGATGCAGACACACACCAGGCTTTGAGTGACCCAATCCAAGAAACCCTGTGGGTTAACAGTCATTTCCACCTAGTTGTTCAAGAGTGTGTTTCCAGAGGTATGACTGCAAGGAACAAATTCGAGGGGAAGAGTATGAGGACTACCCCAAAGCAATCAGGGTCCCTGCCAATGCCGCCGGAATACTTCCGGCCAAAGCTTTCTCCTCTGTCGCGCACCTTCGCCATGTCAAAGTTGACCCTGGACTTCACACGATTGACCGAGAAGCCTGGCGATATTGCCATTCGCTGCAAATGGTCAAGCTCCCTTACACTGTTGTGGCTGTGGAATATGCTGCTTTCCAAGGGTGTTTTGCGCTAGTAATGGTTGAAATGCCCGGCTGCGTTGCCTTTGGTGTACGACTCTTCTCTGAGTGTTGTGCCCTGGAAAAAGTTTGGCATCCTTACCGAAGGCGCATGCAAGCTTGCCGAGGGAGCAGTAATAGGGCCGTATGCCTTTGAAAGCTGTGGTAAGCTTGAGCAGATTTCCCTACCTGGTGTCAAAGCGCTGTCCGATACCATGCCTATGCTGCATCCCCCTGCAGGGATTCCGCAGGGCTGCTTTCATACGTCTGGTATCCGAAGTGTTATGCTAGGGGGGATGTAGTCTTCATTGGTCATAGGGCATATGAAAAACTGCAAACAGCTCGCCGTGGTTGACGTCTCTCACACGAATATTACCACCCTGCACATGCATACCTTCTCGCACTGTTTACAGCTGGAAAGGGTGAGTTTGCCACCCTGCCTGCGAGAAATCCGAGCTGAGGCCTTTGTTGGATGTAAGCTTTTAGGTAGTCTTGCCCTCCCAGAACACCTTCGCTACATAGGACACAGGGCCTTTGGCGAATGCAGTGAGCTATCCTGCCTGCACTACTGCAGACTAAAACGGGTTACTTGGAGGCGCCCGTATGCTGCCTATAATGCCTTCGAAGCGTGTTACAAGCTTGCTACCCCTTGGTGGCTCCACTACCTACCCCCAAATGGAACGGATTGGATGGTGCCACCTAGCCACCATACTTGACAACAGCACCCCCTCAACAGCTGTATCTTCTCCTTCCTCTTCTTGTTCGTTCTTCCTTCTTCTGGTCTTGCGTCTTCTTTTTTCCTGCTCTTTGTTTGTTTCTTATTTTTCCTGCTTGCTTATCCTGTTATGAAGAATCCTAGCGCCAATCTAGCGCTGCCTTACTGTATCACCATAGTCTGCCAGTCAGCTGCTTATTTTTCCTGCTTGCTTGTCTTCTTCTTGTTGTGCATTATTTTTCTTCTTCTCCTTCTTTGTCTTCTTGTTTGTTCTTCGTATTTCTGGTCTTGTATCTTCTTTTTTCCTTCTCTCTGCTCTCTGCTTGTTTCTTCTTTTTCCTGCTTGCTTATCCTGATATGAAGAAACCTAGCGCCAATCTAGCGCTGCCTTACTGTGTCACCATAGTCTACCGGGGGGCCCGCTTCTAAACGAAGATCTTGCACTTCTATTAGTTTCTTATAAATTAATTCTTACTTATCACTTGCTACTTAATGCCTAGACCACATTCATCAACAGAACCTCAGACTCAGACCTCAGATTCTGTGATTCCCTGAGCAGCTCAGCTCAGCCAACTGATTTAGTAAATGTGTTGTCAAGTTGTCTTTTCTCATTTTCTTCTTTGCGCCTTCTCTTTCCTGTTCCTTCTCTTATGTGTCATTATGTTTTTGGATTCTCATTTCATGGAGACAGGAGACATGGAGAATATGCATTTAGCCTCATTACAATCAACTGAACCTGGTCCATATGAGTTTATAGAGAGGTGTGTGTGACCTGCAAAAGTTTGACGCCTGGTTTGTGCTTTATACACCTGGATACCGTGAACCTGGGTTCTGATTTCATGTAGAATGTAAAATGTAGTTTGATGTTAATCAGCTGAAACTGATCCACATTCCCACCTTGTGTTCCGCCATGGCGTTTGCGACCCTAAGTTTAGTACTTCACTAAGATTCCACTGCCTTCATTTCATGAGCATTGTTCATCTTGCTTGATTCCCGTTCTTTTTGAACTTTTTTGACTCAGTGTGTAAAAATGAATTTCACAGACTTACACCAAACACCTGACTTTTTTTAAAGAAACCCTAGTGGCACCCAGGCGTCTGAACACCCTAAAACAGTAATATTTAATTTCATTCGCGAAATTTGTCATACTTTTCCCCCTTCTTGCTTAACCCTGTCAAAGGCACACCAAACTTTATCCACTTCTTTTCCACGAATTTTCAATATATATATTCCTCCCGTTTTCTTTTCAAGTTTCTCTCAGGAAAGCCGGTTCAAAATCAAGAACTTACCTTTTCTCACCATGCATGGTTGGATTCGTGGCTGTGCTTGGGCGTATACATTGCCCGAGTGAAACGTATCTTGAACAGCTTCTTGGTTCACTGTTTCTTCACCCGCTGTGTGCACAACCTGCTGGACAAGAGTGTCAACGCAGTGTCAAGTCTCAAATCTTGTGAGTGATGCACGGTCATGCCACAGCGACATCCACTCTACATTTACTCCAAAGATGGAATTCGGTGAAACTATTGGGAACCCTTGCTCTCAATTGGCTTCACCTCAGCCACAGAAGGGCAAGACAAGTGGAACGCTAGGCGTAACGCTGCTGAGAAAAGCACTCACGCTGATGGCAATGTGAAGCCATAGCAATCTGTCCTTAAAACTGGAGGGAAAAACACAAACTTGAAGTGTGGTCAAAACAGCTGTTTCTCGACCCAAACTCAGAGGCGGCAAAAAAAACAAAAAATACATCATAAGGTCGTAACATTGACATCAGTTTGAAGCCCTGCATGGTTAAAAGCTGCTCAAAAGAAAACACCAAGTGATGGGCTCATCCGTGTCGCGAAGGCTTGCCGACATCTTTTCTTCTCTAATCCAACTTCCATCCTGCAAATCCGCGGTGAGCAAACTGGCAAACCACAATGCTGCAAAGGCAAGTTGAGACGGTGGTGTGCAAGGGGTTGGGTGAGGTGTTGTGAAAGAAAACAATTGGACAAATTCACCTGACCAGCGATTGACAAAAGAGTGAAAAGTGAAAAGGTAGCAAAGACATTGCAACGCAAAGCGCTGAGCCGAGTGAACAAAAGCTGAGAAATTGAAATACAACTAGCAAACGAGTTGGTGGCATAAACAGCGGCTCGTCCTGTTGGCTAAAAATATCAATTTCATCTGCGTCACACTTCACTTTGTTCGGCTTCTCTGCCTTAATTGCCTCACGGCAAAACAACAATAACCACCATGCACTTGCACACGCGTTGAACAAAACATGTTCTGGCTTTCATCGCTGCCTGCTTTGTTTGTCTTCTTCATTCAACGTTCACCAAGGCACAGCATCAAGTTTGATTGAACAACAACAAGCTCTGAGCTCTGGACTTTCTTAAGGTCATCCACCTTTGAAATGAATCAAACTGAGCCAAGGGCTTTGTATAGCAACGTGATGACGACTTGAACGAAGCATGCGACGAAAGCATGGGGACGAACCAGCAAGAAGGGCACAGCAAAGCTAAGGTCACTGCGTCTGCCAGCTCTCCGGTGACTTTGAACGGGTTGCCAATCTGCTCGAATGTATCACCGTCCTGCAATTGCAACAGGGGGTGGGCGACAGCCAATGGCTGCGCCTTTCGATAAGCAAGTGCAAAAGAACAATGCGCATGACAAGCAATGCATTACGTAAGAATTTTGACCTTGGGATGTGAAAATGGCTGAGGGAAATTTCTTCATGAAGTTTCAGCTGAACAAACCACTTCTGTTCTTAACCTACCACTAGTCAAAGGCTTGAAAAGGAACAAAGGCATAAACTGCTGCATTGACTTTTGCAAATTACAAGCCTTTGATGCTTGAGTGGGAGAACTGACGGAGCACAACCCTACTTTTATTCACACGACCAATCAACACCGGTTTTCGCACAGGAACTTTGCAAAGGAAGAAACAAAACGAACATAGGGATGTAAAAACAAGGTTGCTTGTTCAACAGATGCAACTTTCAACTGTCAACGTCTGTTGAGGTGGTACTTTTTTGGCTTTTCGTCAAAAAGTTCTTCCTACACCTGTCAAAAGGGCATAGCAAAGGAACAAGGGCATGGCAAAACATCATACAAAGTCTTAGACTAAATCCTCTCTATCAAATTGAGGAAAATGTTGAGAACATATCATTCAACAAATCCTGAGGAATAAATACGCTACTGCTAGTATTTTATGCATAAAACATTTACTTCCCTCAAAAGAACATGGCAAAGGAACTAGCAAAAGGCAAAGAAACCATATGGTTTCCTTTTCCTAAACTGTCACCAGCACGCAACACCCTTTTTGCGCGCGATGGCTCAAACTCAGGCGTCCTTATGCCGTTCCCTTTGCCCATCTTGGGCTTCCTTCCCCCCTCAGGAATCCGGACCCGAAACGCGTCACGGATCCTTATTGAGAGGGTCAGTTTGGAGTGAGGTCTGCCGTGATCATTTTCTGTGCTACGCCTTTGGCAGTCTCTCGCGCCTCCCATATGTAGGTTTGGAAGCTGTCTGAGGCCCATCGTCCCCAGCGCTTCACTAGGGAGGTGTCTTGGTACTGTGCCCACAGGGCACTTGCCCCACCGAACCTCAGCGAGTGAGCGCCGAGGTCCCCTTCCGGGAGTCCCAGACCTTTGGCTGCCCTGACGGATTTCACAACACACACCTTTTCCGCAGTGCGATAGTGGTTTCTGACCTGTCCCCGATTGTAGATGTCTGTCTTGGATCCTCGCACCAGAAGGGTGACTTCGTCAACTTCGCTGATCCGGTTCAGCGTCACGGCATTGCCATTGAGCTTCAAGGTGACGTCGGACCCACGCAAGCCTTTTCTGGGATCTTGGTACCCGACATCAAGGTATTCCGAAGCCCGAAGTAGGAAGAAAAATCCCAAGGTGAGGGCGCCCCAAAGGAGGCTAGCTTCCTCGGCCCTTCCATACTGCAGATGATCCCCAAGCCATTTCAACATGTCTGGAGTCACGGGCATCCGTCGTTCCTTGGTGCCGAAGCGCCGTCGCAACCCGGCCAGGGCAAGCGGGATCCTTGGCATGTGCATCAAGAGATCTGGGTAGTATCCCAACGTCAAGTGCATGCTGCGTATGGCGGAAAGTCGCAGTTTGATGGTGCCCGGTGCTTTGGCTTCATTGGAGGCACAGTGGACCAGGAAGTCGATGACCAGTTGTTCCTCTTGACGGCTATAGGCCGGAACATATCTGACTGGGTCTTCACCCCTTCGTTTGCAGAAGAGTGACCACCAGCCCCATTGCGACTGGTAGCTGGCGGCTGTGCTCTGCGAGTACCTCGAAAGTAACAGTGAGAATCCTTCTTGGTCGAATTCGTGCCGTCCTTGAACTTGAGCAAACCTAAAGCTCTTTCCCGCGGGGTGCCTTCTGGCAGCAGCCCTTGGTCCACCCAGGAATGGCACGTTGGGTTCTTGCACGACTCTTCAACCTTTCTTGGGGAGGCTGAATCTCACTTTCTTTCTGGTTCCGCCGACTTTGGTGGCCTCCAAATAGACCTTTGCCGATCCTCCTGGGTGGTTTGACCCCCATTTGGAAAGGAGTCTTCTGATGGCCAAAGCCACGGCTAGTATAAATGCCAGCAGTAGGCTGTCAAAAATCATTCCTGAAGCCTGATCGAGATCCCACTCGGCTTCAAGGGCGTCTCCAGGACTCCTCTTCAGTCCTTGATCAAAATTGCTGAGGTTCGGGACGGAAAGACCTCCGGCCGAGGAGCTCCCCTCGGCAGTCTGGCGCGCGATGGCGTGATTGCGGTCACGCTCAGCGTCGTCCTTGGTATGCCCTTGTCCCTCACGCTTCCGCTGCTTCTTGATCTTCTTACGGCTGGCGGTGTCTGGCGCCCGCTTGTTCCAATTGCCCTCTCGTCGAGCCTCGTTCTGGAGGTCCGCTCTGAAGGTTCGAAGGTCTTTTTGGGCTGCATCATGAAGCGCTTTGTCCAACACCTTACCGGCTTCTGCAGGATCAACATCCAACAAGGGTCCTGTTCCTGGTCCCTTCTCTGCTCGACTCCAGGCGTCGACCTCCTGTCAGTGCTGAGCCGCTCTTTCTCGTGCCCTTTGGGCTCTTCTGGCAACCCAGACGGATCTCCCCGCCTCAATCTCTTGCTTCAGTCGGTGATCAGAAACAAGCGGAACCCCAGTCCTTGGACCGACGGGGTTCGCGAGCTCAAGTCGTAACATCTGATCGTTGAGGCCTGCCCGGTAGTCGGTTTCTGCCTCGGTGTAGTGCTTGACCCTTTGGGCTCGCTCTTCGGCTTTGGCTTCAGCCTCCGTCTTACTCTTGAGTCTTGCCTCCGCCAACTGGTTGAGACGCTCCACAAACTCCGACTTAACCTGAGAAGCTGCTGGGGCTTGCTGGATAGCTTCTTGGAGACATGCCCAGTTGGCGGCGTCGGCGTCGGCCACAGCTTTGAGAAGATGCAGGTGCGCATCCCCGAACTTGACCTTTCGCCTTCGAGGCCTGGGTAAGTCTCCTTCGGTGATCATTTCTTGATCCTTAGGTGGAAGGTATTCGATTCCCTTGGCATCTCCAGGGGGCGGTGGCGCATTGGGCACACCCTCCGCTGCTGGTGCTCCTCCTGGGGTCTCTGTTGCACTGGGGACGTCGACACTCTCTTCAACCTTCGTGGGTATCACTTCTTCGCTCTTTGGAAGAGCTGCGGTCGTTTCGGCTTTGGGCTGAGCCACCTCAGCCGTTCTCGCGTCAGGGTCTTCGGTCAGCCCTTCAGTCTTCTCTTGTTTAGGTTCTACAAGTTCTGTAGACGCTCCTGCTGGGATGGCCTGGGCGATTTCCACCTCAGAGTCAGTGCCCCCCCCAATCAACTTCCATTTCTCCCTCTGCTTCCCCGGGCGCGAAACGCGCCTCGGGTCCGCCTACGGTTCCTCTGTCGCGAGGTCCACAGCAAGGCCATCTTCGAAGTTCTCGGGTAAGTTGCTCCCGAGGCCTTTGGCGACGTCTATAGGATCTCTTCGGTAATGGGTTTCTTCTCTTCTTCTGGCATGGGACCCCATCTGCCTGTCACTTTGGGCCTGATGGGCAGCGCAGCGCTTGACATCGGTGCTTTGGCAGAGCTCGCTGCCGAGCCATGCTCATCTTCTCGGTCCTCGAGGCTTCTGCCTTCAGGTAAGCCGTCCCACTGGGTGATCCTAATGATTGCGGCTGGCGGTACTGTCGAATCACAGAGCCACACCTTGTTGCCGGTCTTCCGGAACTTGCATCCAAGGTCAACGGCTTTCTTGACATCGATATCTATCCGTGTTTCGAGGTCGACCCGCCACCGCTCTGCGTGTTCCTCGGGGTCGTGGAAGTGGACATCTCGGTCGCCTCTCACCAACCCCTTCTTCTGAATGGACGCAGTGTGACGTCGGTAGCTGCCATGCGCCAGCAAGGCCGGGAGTTCCTCGGTTGGGACCACTGCGGCTGGGCCAACAACTCTCTCCTGCGTGTGGCCCGACCAGGCCGCGACCCACCAGACTGCATCAGTGTCTTGCTTCGCAACGAGTCGGTCCTTTTTGTTCTGGTCGAGTGCTTCCAGCAGCACCCAGTTTTGGAATCTTTTGCAGGACTGATGCGCGGCGAGTTGTTGCCATTTCACCCAACCTTCTTCGCTGATGGGGCACTCCTCGGTGCCCGCCGCATGCCTCAGCACATAGCACATGGGTCTCTTCCTCCCAGGCGAGTCGACAGACTCCCACTTTGTCGGGGAGATTTTCCCCGAGGAGTTGTTGAGCTGCCCAGTGCACTGCCGCATCAGCCAGCTTTCTGGGGGTCGCTTCAAGTAACGTCTTGGGGTCTCCGCATGCGGTGCGTCTGTCTTCCTCCTGATATCGCGAGCTCCTGCCGTGCAACAACTTCGCCGCTTCAGCAGGTGTGATTGTTCGAGCAGCCGGGCCGTTGGGCCCCTTCCCAATCAGCAAAAGCCGATCATCCCTTTCTGGCTGTCACGATCCGTCATGTAACCCTGGTAGGGGTCGGCATGGGTCCCACACCAAGGCCCTTGGTTTGCCAGGGGCCGTGAAAGTGCCAGCTGGTTTCGGCTTGGTGGCCCCCAAAAAGGGCATGCTCGGGTCGATCTTGAGAACTCCAGGTTCCCACATGGCTTTGGGTACTTTGGAGTCTTCGAGGAGCCATTCCACCGGGTACCCCGAGAGCGGTGGTGTGATTGGCTCTGCATCAGCGGTGTTGTGGGGGTATGGTTTGCCTTGCCCAGACTCGGCCATCAAAACCCACCGCTTCCACCATACTTGATCCTTCAAAGTTCTGCCGCAGTTCCAGGCGGAAGAGGGACGAGAACATGGAGAATGGCTCCATTGGTTAGAAGCGATGGTGTTTTCAAGGGAAGTGATCCTGGAGGAGCAGCATCGAGTGCTGGAGGGAGCACGGTGGTCTAAGATTGCAGCAATGAATGATGAAGCCACCACAGGTGTTGGCACTTTCTCAAGACCAAGCACGGTGCTTCAAACCTATACAGTTCCTCTCCAACAAGTGCGACGCGAGCTGGGGAAGTGGAAGGAGCCCTTAACGGATGAATATCTCTCGATGACCTCCAACACCAAGGCTGTGAGACCCACAACGACGGAGGCCTTGAAACTTCATCACAACTATGCCGCGATGGAAGTGGCACCTGATGGTCATCCCCACGGTGAAAGCTCCGTTTGGAAAACATCGGGCGCGCATGGTCATATGTGGAAACAGAGTTGAATTGGCCGACCCGGAACAAGCAGAAGAAACATAGAAAACCTTCGGTCTCAAACGTCTCTACCAAAGCAAAGAAGACTGTTGTGGAAGATATCTTTCAACCTGAGGAATGAACAAACCCAAGGTATACACCCTAAAAGGTAGTGCAATCAGTGCCACAGACTTCCGTGTATTGCGTGGCGCCACGGACTTCTCTACTTGAGCACCACGGCATATGTTGTGGATTTTGGCTTTAGAGGAACTGCGACTTTCTTCTTCAACGCATCATTGAGATGATTCATAGGATGAGCTAGCTTGTTCAGCGGACTTATCCATAATCATAGTTTTGTATTGGGATGAAAATTCCGCGAACACCGTCAAATGTGTTCTTGTTTTGCTGTCACATTAAGGAATACGTTTTGGAAGGTACCTTTCAACAAATGCCGAAGAATGAACCCTGCGATCTACCGCCTTTAACAGTCCTAAACCCTGCCAAGAACATGTCATGACTTATCAGCAATCCTTTTGACTTGGGAGAAAAGCACATGAACACCATCAACACTTGTTGGTTTTGGACTCAACCAAATGAACGACTTTCGGAGTAAAAGGTTCATGAACTCCCGAAACTGAATGTCTACCAATCATTTGAAACAAAACCAACGGAGTATCTCTCTGTCGACAGCGGCGGTCCTTCTGCAATTGCCTCACCCAAACGGCTTTGGTCTAGGTTCCAGTGGCGGGGCCTTGCAGAGTTCGATGAAGACAAAGTGGGTCTACTTTGCATTGATAACTCAAATTAGAAAACTATCTTGAAATGTTCTTTGAATGCATGTGACTTGTCAGTTCATTACAGTGAAAACCAATTACTGCCTACACGTTCTGACGAAACCCAGACCTGTGAGTTTGAATATCAAGAGAAATCCAGCCTGGCTGAATGGATTTGAACTTCTGGGCAGAACTGATCTCAAAGAATGGTTCTTCATCCTTGAAGGAAAAGCTCCTTGCAACTCCATCACATGGGATGTAGAAGTCCAAGACTTCCTTACCTTGCTGCTCTTGCTGCTTGACATAGACATGGTAGCCGGTGTGTGCTGAATTGGCAGCAAGTCCAACAATCTCTATACCCTCTATACCACCCCACGTGTCTTGCACAAGTTTTCTCAATTGGTGGCCCTTCCTTCCAATGATTAGCAAACACTTGTGCTTGGCACTTGCGTAGTTTGTCTTCGACACATTCTTAAAGCGATTTCGATGTTTTTTAATTTCAGCTGCTCTGCGGGCAGCCATGACCGCTTCAATGGCGAAAGTTGAACCGTCCGGTATTGTACAATAGATGTCAACCTTCCCCATACGTGGGCTCTCCAAACTACTTACGGTTCGAAATCCCAAGCGCTTCAACACGCGAATTAAAGCAAAGGTGTAATGAACCTCAAATGGGAGCTGCTCTTGTGAAACATCAGGTAGAACATTATCTTTCCCTATTGTGGCCACCACCACATCTGCAAAAAGCAAATATGGCAGCGCTCGCAAAAGCAGATCTGTGCAAGAAACTGGGTTTCTGTCTACATCCACTGTCAGCTGCCGCTTGACTGCAAGCACTGAGCGGTAATAGGAAGCCATCAGGTAATTGGCGACGCAATACTTTCTCCCCACGTCTGCCCAATCCAGTCGCTGAAACTCATTTTGCTCCGCCTCCATCTTGTCTTGAGCAGGAAGTACAAAACCACAAATTGTGAGCTCGCGGCGGAGAGATATTGCGATATCATCAGTTGGACCCTCGCACAAGACTTTCATAAATTGTTCTGGTACGTTCTCCAAGCTTGCAAAACGCCCGTTCACACGAATGGCCCGACTAGCCTGAAGTTTCCTCATCAAGCTATCATCTGGGGCATGAATCCAATTCTCTGTGTCCCATGCTAGGCTAGCCTCCCCAAGGGCGCGAGTCAAATTCCACGGAGCGCTGTTCCTGCTCTGCTTTTCCTGCACCCATTCCATGGCTCTCATGAAAATACCTCTGTGTCACAAAGGTTCATAAAGAAATCAATGGCTGTTTCAGACAAATACACATCAGCCTGGGCAAGTTGATTAACAAGAGCTTTGGCATGTGGAATTGGGGGCGTCCACATGTATTTTCCAGTAATTTCCGCAGGTGTTTGTGAGATAGCTCCATGCATGTCCACAGCTTCAGATGCAGCTGATAGCAACAACATCATGGGAGGCTGCAGTAGGTGTCCAGGTTTCAAGAACATGTTTAAGAAGTCCGGACAACTGAAGAGCAAGTGGCACTCATCAAAGACCAGCACCCGATCATTGTCATGTACATATTTGACTGCATCTTCGATGCTTCGTTTCGCTACATCAGGAGCGGCAGGCTCGTTCTCCAAAGCTGCCCTGAACCTTCTCTGCCAGTGCTGAGAGGTTGCATTCCCAGGGGCAACGACTTGCAAATACTTGGATGGTTGTACTGTACAGAGATATTTTGCTAACGTAGACTTGCCGCTAGCCACACCAGCACGAATGAAAACAACCCTCTTCTTTTGCAACAGAGCTTCAAGCTGTTGAACTGTTTCGTCCAAAGGGATGAAGACATCGGTAGCAGGGTCAGCGAGTTTCAGTGCTTCTGGAATCTCACGTTTGCCACTTCTCACCCTCTTTATCTCCATTGACTCCATTGCCGTGTATTTCACCAGCCGCTCCACAAGGTCTGCTTTTCGCCCTGACACCTTCAAACCCTTCTCGCGCAGCTTTGTCTTCAGTTTTCTCACTGTCAACTTCTCTAGGCTTGCTCTAGTAGTTTCTCTGCCTGAACCTGGTACTGCTAGAGTTTGCGAGCCGTTGATTGGCAGGTGCAAGAAGCACAGCACGACAATCACAATAGCAACTAACAGTTTGAAGCGTGATTGACCAGCTCGTTGGCGGGCCATGGCTTCGAAAAGGAATGTTCCTACCCTTAAACTTTTCTAGGACAGAGGTGACAAAAACATGGTTGACACTCAATGTATCAACTCTCCTGAGCTTGAAAGGTTTGTTCTAGTCCAAAATCCTGTCTGAACCAGAGTGCTTCCCAATTCCATCATGCATGAAGTTTGTCAAGGTGCTCTATCTCGTTCCCGTGGCTCAAATTTGTCATCCAATCTGGACAGCGCAGAAAGAAAACACCAGCGGAAGAGCATGGAAGCACGCAAGTGCGAAACAGGTGACGCTAACCAAATCTCAGCAAGCATGACAAAGAGCAAGCGCACTCACAGGAAGAAAAAACACAAAATGTCATATTATCCTGCCTGAAACAAGAAGAGGTCGATGTATTCAAAATTGGGTTTAAGGTTGTTGGGGAAAATGCCGCCGATGGTGGTAAAACCATATTTGGTTTGAGGACAGTTTGGTTCGTGAGAAGCATCACCTCGCCGCGGAAATGAGAAAAACCTGCCTCTGTTGTGCAGAAACGCTATACGGATAGAACCTGGTTCCGTCTTTAAGAAAATGCCACCGGCTTTGGGAAAGTCAGCCACCGACTTTGGGAAAATCAGCCACCCACTTGGGGAAAATCAGCCACGGATTTTGAGAAAAACAGGCTCCTTTTTTGATTGATCTGGGACAAAGCTCAAGTCTCACTGTTTTGAACGCTAAGCATTTGGGTTTGGATTTAGGAATTGAAAACTGGGTGTATCTAAAAATATGTCAACCGGTAGGAAGTTGGAAGGGTAAACTGCTCGAACCTAAAAAATTTGATGTCGAAACTGTTTTGGGGTATGTGTTAGGGAAGCGCAAACTGATATACACAGTTCCTATTGAGGATGAAAATACTTCAACAACTATATTTGCAGTATGCCTTGTTACCTTGTAAGTAGTGGAGTTGAAATCCCGATGACGAATGAAACCTTTGACTTTATTTGGAACGGTTTTGGAAGCAAAGAGCTGACTGACAGCGAACCGGTTTCTTCATCGGAAGAAAGCTATGAAGCAATTTCATCAATCCAAAAGTGACAAAAAGAGCGCCGCGGACCTTTTCTCTGCGAAAGGTCACTTTGGGCCACTGTCGAGCGAAGCGGAGTCTGTGAACATCTTGACATGTCTGTCGGGTGTAAAGTTTCTGACACCCCACCTAAAAAGTCGTGCGCTAGTGCGACCTTTTTCTCTTCTTCAAACTTCACCTTCCATGGCGTAGCGTGCCACTCTCGTCCTCCAGTCATTCTCCCACTGGCGGGGCATCACTGCCACGCACCAGGCCGCAAAGCCTTTCTTGTAGTCCTCATCCCAACCCAGGGCGTGATCAAACCGTAGGAAGGGATAGTGCTCGCCAAACTTGCAGGTCAACCTTGCCTGCACGTACTGCGTGAACTGCGACCTTGAGAAAAGTCCGGTCGCTAGCAGTCGTCTGGCTCTCCGCTCTTCATCTTCGCTCAAGTAGCGAATGCAATTCTCAAGCTTGCTCCAGTCAAGGGCTTCTGGTGGCTCATCTCTCTCATAGTCCTGCCATAGATAGTCATCATCTGGCAAAGTCGTTCCTTCTTCATGCACTTCAGGGTACGCTCCACCTTCATAGGGCACACCTGAATCCACTTGCACCAGCTTCCTCATCTCTCTCTGAAGCTGTTGGCCTGTAGACTCTTCTGTAGCCTTGTTCTGGGCATAGAACAAAGAACTCTTCTCCGCTCTCTGCATCTTCCCTGGACGCTAAGATCCTGTATGGCCTGAGCCTGTGCAGCATTGGGTCCCAATCCGTGAGGTATTGTTCGACTGTCACGTCGTCTCTGTTGCTGCTTGTAGGCTCTTCTTCTCCTTCCTCTTGCTCCTCTTCTCGTGGTCTGCGTCTTGAACTCCTTCTGCTCTGCAAAGAAGCCTCCTCTTCTTCATCAAAGCTTCCTTCTGGTCCTTCACGTTGTCGGCCAACTCTTCCACCACGTCTTCTTCGTAGTGGCTCTGGTAGTGCGGGTGGTGGTGCTCTCACCCATTCACCTCCAGTTGCCTCAACAGAGGCTCGTATTGCCCATTCTCTCAAATCCAGTCCTGACCGTGTTGGCTGTTGGTCGTCATCTCTGTGAAAATCTTCGAACCAATCACCTTGCAGGTAAGGTCTAATTTTCCTCATCCATCTTGAAATCTTTTTCCACTTCGTGTATCCAAGCCACACACCAGCTCCAAACACAATGACCGTGTAGATCAGGAACATCAGGATGTAGACACTCCACCAACCATAGTTGGTCTGGTTCCGGCTGTTGGCGGAATTGGTCGTGAGGTTTTCGTCACTTTCATTTTCTTGTTGTCCATAGGCTCCAGGTTGGAGTAGTAGCAGTGTCACTGCCTTCACCATGGACTTTGAGATCTTGGCCTTTGTCTCACACTTCTCTTCAACCAAGGCACAGACCATCTCCTTCTTCACTTCTTTCATCTTTTGCGCCAGGTTCTTCTTCCGGACTTCTTCATGGAAGGTCTCCTCTCCAACATGGCAGAAAGTCTGGTCGGCACCTTCAACATTCATCTCCATCACACCAATGAGGAACATGAGGAATTCTCTCCTCTGGCGTGACAACCTTTTGGTGCCCAAATCAGCCATGTTCCACAAGGTCGGGATGCCCTCCATCTTCAGGGTTTTCTTTTTGACTTCAAGCTGCATCCACAAGTACCTTGTGTCTATGTGCTTCAAGCGTCCAACTCCAAGCCTTTCTGTGAAAGCTCTGCAGGAAGAACTGTCCGTGATCGTCTTGATCATCACTTCTCTGGTTGTCAAAAACTGCCAAAGCTCCTTCAACTGCAATGCTTCGGCTGCCCCACCTGCAGAAGCTAAAAACTCAGCCTCACAGGACGACAGAGCTATGCTCTTTTGAGACCTTGACCAGGCTGCTATCAGGCACCCATTCAAAAAGATCATCACACTGCTCACACTGTGCCTTCTTCTCTTTTTCGAAGATCTGTCACCTGCCCAGTCACTATCACTCCAGCTCTCCAGGGCGTCCACATCATCGAGGCTGTCTGGCTGTAGGAGAATTTCAGCCTTCTTGCTTTTGTACTTGGTGTACGGCAAAAGAATGCCATACTGCTCAGTCCTCTTGAGATAGAGGATGAAGTGTTTCAGTTCATTCTCAGCCTTCTTGGTTGGACTTGCCATGAATTGGCTGAGGTTTCTCACGCTGTGCTGGATGTCCACTTGGTCCTGGGAGATGTACAGCAAAGTTCCCAAAGCGGACCGGAAACGGTGCTGATCCCCACCTGTCAACACATCTTCTGGAGTTCCTTCCAAATCCAGCTGCGTGCTCTCTGGGGTTGCCTTGCCAGCTCTTTGGGACAAATTGTAGAGTTCCACCAGACTTGGCACATACTTCTCATGAGGCGCAATCACGATGCCTTCTTTGGTGAAGCAGTGGCGCTTCTTCAAACAGCGGATTGGTTCATCAGCTTCCTGGTCAGGTTGTGGAAGAATACCTGACTCGCTGATCATAAATTTGTTCTTCATCTTCTCTAAGAACCAAATCAGCTCCACTGTCGATCCAGCCACAATCAAATCATCCACATGGCATACCATGCCCAAATCTTTCTCCTTGTGCCGGAAAAGCGACGGCAGGGAAAGATGGTTTTCCATTCCCAATGCCTCCAAGGCTTCCTTCAGGTAGTCGAACCACCTCGAAGCCGCATCTCGCTGGCCTGGAAGGCACCTGGCTAATCGCCAGTATCTTTTGGCTCCACTTGAACTTTCTTCCAACTCCTCAGGCTTCCACCATGCTGGTTGCTCTACCAGTACCAACTTTGTCTGAGGTACCAGCAGGAATTGCGTCCTTCACATCGATGAAGCTCAGCTTCCATTCCAGGATTGCATGGGTAGCCAGCAGAAGCCGTGTAGCTGCTAAGCTTGAGGTTGGAGCGAAGGTCTCAGCCATTGTCTGGTCGTTGCCTCTAAACTCCCTGGCAACATATCTGATTCTCTTCCATTTTCCATTTCTCACCCTCCAATCAAAGACTGACCTGGTAGTGAGGATGCTTCCATTCTCCAAGTCTGAGGTGCTTGGTTCTTTTAGCACTCCCATATCGAGCAGCCTCTGTATCTCTTCTTGTCCTGCTGCTGCCTCAATCCTCTCCAATTCAACTGGCCCCACCTCCGGTGGAGTTCCCTCATCAATCACTTCTTCAGACAGGAGCTTCTCCATCAAGAGCATCTCATCACCACCATCAAAGTCTGCTACCTCCTGCTCCCATTGGAATTCGTCAACTGCTCGTTCTTCTACTTGTTGTATTCCACCTGCAAAATGCGGTCTGAACAGGGAAGTAGGACTTGACGAAGCACTTGTCCTTGGTACTTTTGTTTTGCTCTCCTCAACTCCACTATCATCTACCATCTGATCGGCCTCCCTTCGACGAAGAGGGAGTTCTGGAGTTGTTGGTGCTCGCTCACCTGCATTGGCAGTCTCATCATCAAGACCAAGAGGTAGTGGAGGTATGCAAACATACTTGTCTGCTGATTGGTTCTCTTCTCCTCCTTCTGCAGGATGTTTCTGTCCACGCTTGGGCATTGCCTCCTCCTGTTGCTGTGGTGTTCCTCCTGGATGTTCCAGGGCGTACTTCTCAAGTAACGACACTGATGATGTTTATGATGCTGTAATGGAGTGTTTCAAGGTATTAGGTCAGCCATTATCAGTCTATTCTGACGACGAAGGAGCATTAAACAGTAAGAAATTACAAGCCTATTTTTCAAGGAGAAGGGATAGAGCACATAATAACAAAATTACACGCTAATCAGGCTAAGAGCAAATAAAAATAAGACTTGGGTAGATATGTTAAAACCTTCACTAAATAGATACAATACTCAAGTTCATAGTTCAACTAAAATGAGCCCTAACAAAACGCACGACCATAAAAATGCGCTTGAAGTAAAGTCTAATCTTGTTTTAAAAAACAACACAATAGGAAATACCCAAGCATTAGGGAGGGAGATTATGTTAAAGTATTTGATAAAGGCAAAGGCAACTACACTTCAAGAAAAGAAACAAAAAGTCAATGGAGTGATAGAAAATATAAAGTAATACTCAAGGGCCGAGACATGCTGAATAATACCTATTATAAACTGGATGGACTAAGCAAAAAATACAACCGTCATGAACTGCTACTACTTGTAAATGATTGACATTTTTTAGTTTGTTAGTGTGTTTTAAGGTCCTATTTTTTGACAGTTGAACCACAGTGATCACACACAGTTTTTCTGCTATTTTTCTTTGTTGTTGTCTCTGTGTTGTTTGTTGTATTCACTTATATGTTCTTCATTGTTTTCTTTCCGACTTTTATTCTATTCAGTGTAGTAACCTTTCTTTTCTTCTCTTTTTGCCTTCAATTTGACTGTAGTATTTTCTCTATAGATTTTGGCTGTTTCCTTTTTTCTTTGTTTGCTTTTCTTTCTATACCTTTCCGGCGTTCTTCCAACAATAATTTTGTTGATACATTTAGTCTTCTCAATGTAATATCCTTCTCTTGCTTCCAATTCCTTTTTGTTATTACAGGGGTACTCTTCAATCCAAATATTATTACAATTAATGTAGTCCCTTGATTATAACCCCCCCCCTCAACAACCAAGGCCTCCAAAATAATGTATAAGAAAATCAATCAGTTGATAATTAAATAAGGAATCCTTAGCTAGCTACCTCCGGAGCTACTCTGGCAATATTAAATCAAAAGGAAAAAAGAATTCCTAACTTTGAAGACATCTGGAATATTAATTACAATAAAAGGGAATGAATCAATGGAAATAGAACTA